GTTTGTCACAGCCCCTCGTTTGTTGTCCTCTTCTCTCTCTCTGCCTACGGTTTACCGGGCAGTTCTGTTTGTGACGATATATATATATCGTCAAACTTCTTTCTTCTTCTTCGTCTTCATCATCTTCTTCTTCCGCTTCCTCTTCTTCTTCGTCATCCGTTTCTTCTTCTTCTTCTTCTTTTTCTTCTTCGTCTTCTTCTTCATTTGCCCCCCCACGCCGGCTGAGATCGGCCCCTCCTTTGTCTTCGTTGTCTATATTGGGACGTCGGCAGGTTCGTTCATTCTCTCCTCCTCCCACTCTCCCTTCCTCTCGACGTCGTGTTGATGCTAATAAGCGGGGTTCTTTGTCTTATCGACAGCCTTCTCTGCCACGTCGACGGTGTTCGTCATGCATGCACCGACCCCGCCAGATCAGACCTAGCTTTCGAGTGGTGACCGAATTGGATCTGCGGGCAGATCTACCAAATGCTTGTGGGTTGACTGCCACAAATGTCTGCCTACAGGCGTATCAGCATCAATGTTATACTGCTTCCCAGTTTGTTACGATTGCTTATCAGCTTGACGGTGTTGAAAATCAGTTGTTGTATGACCATAATGGTCCACCTCCTGAAGGTAGTAATTATACTACCTCAGGAGGCTTTACTGTAAATGTCGTACAACTAGCTTTTCACGGTCGCCACCTTCTTATGCATCATGCGATGCCAGGCAATGACCTTAATGACCATCCTCATATTTCTGCTTGTATTTTGCACAGACCCGGGCATTGTATGACACTCATTCGTTCAGCTGCCCAGTGGGAACTGTGGGATGGTGGGACAATGATTCAGGCTATTTTGAACGTAAATGAATTTCTGTGTGCATCACCGAATCATACTTCATTCTGGATTATTGATCGACTCTCGTGTGGCACCTGTCGGGACAGGGACGCGGTGCGTCTTGGCTGCGGAGTTCATCACCTATGCCATCAGCATTATCAATCTATTGCAGCCGCTGCTGTCTGTGCCGAAGGGTGTCCAACATTTCCTCATTGTACACATCCCTATCACCCATCTATATTCATTGTCCACATTCCCGCTGCTGTCTGTGCCGAAGGGTGTCCAACATTCCCAGGCAACCTTTTGACATGTGGATAGCATGTCCTTTGTCAGGACTGTTTTGATGGGATGGTCCGTGCTAGCCGTCCTGCTGAATGCTGTGCTGAATTAGCTCTCCTTGGGTATCCTTGTGAACATCCATGTCATCCTCAGCGTGCCTGTCCTATCTGCCGGGCTGAGGGCTCCTCTTCCTGACTGGTCAATAGAATCAAGCGATCAGGAGCAACACTTGTAGGACAGATAAAAGAAAGAAATGTTACGATCCTGGCCAATTTTGAAGTCCACAATCATCAGAAAGTACAATGTTGTCCAATTGCGAAAAGAAATGAATGAACTTGAGCCCAATGCCGTCCAATTGAAAAAGAATGAAAGAACTTGAGAGGAGAGAGAGGGAAAGAAGAAGAAGAAGAATCAGGAAAGAAGAAAGAGATGATGTACTCCAGCGTAGACCAAAGACAAAGCTCTTCTTCTTCGCTCAACAACCTCCTCCTCTTTATCTCCTCCTCTCTTATTGAAACAATAAATAAACAATAATAATGTTGAACAGCTGAACCAGAATCAATGTCCGAGTCCCACTTCTACTGCAGGCATAAGATGAGGTCCACCATAGCCATGGCAACCCTTCTTCTTCCTCTACATAGAGGCCGAGGCTATGGTGGNAAAAGAATGAAAGAACTTGAGAGGAGAGAGAGGGAAAGAAGAAGAAGAAGAATCAGGAAAGAAGAAAGAGATGATGTACTCCAGCGTAGACCAAAGACAAAGCTCTTCTTCTTCGCTCAACAACCTCCTCYTCTTTATCTCCTCCTCTCTTATTGAAACAATAAATAAACAATAATAATGTTGAACAGCTGAACCAGAATCAATRTCCGARTCMCACTTCTACTGCARGCATAAGATGAGKTCCACCATAGCCATGGCAACCCTTCTTCTTCCTCTACATAGAGGCCGAGGCTATGGTGGACTACTGAGGCTTCAGCCTCCTGTCCAAAGGACCACTCAAAGCAGCTATGCCGCTGCCTCACTCTAAGGTCATCACCATGCAGCTATGCCGCTGCTCACTCAGCCACCATGCCCGACTCTGTCCCGAGCTTCCTTGATGCGGCACTACCCCCACTGGGGCCTTCCTGATGCAGCGCCTAGCAAGGAGATGAAGATGGTGTCTACCATAGCCAGTGAGTACCTCGCCACTCTCCTCCTTGGTCCCCTTCTCCCTCCTCCTACTACCGGTAGAGCTCCACCATAGCCAAGGTGGAAGCTCMCGGCTTCTTCCTCCCAGCAGCGCTGTAGTGCCCARCKCTACTCCAGYCMGCGCTCCAGCAGCGTGACGCCCAACTCGCACACTGAAGAATGAGGCCGGGCTCTCCGCCCTGCCTCTTGATATAGCGGCCTACTTGCCTCCTGGGCGGTGACTTCCAGGCCGCTCGGCCTCTCCAAGCAACCGGTACCTCCACCGTTTCGGAGGGAAACATCATTGCAGACCCTGATATTACCCGTACAGGCTCTAGACTCAGACTGGTTGGACTGGTACCGGCCTAGACCTACCCTACCGCTACTGGACTCTAAAAATGCCAACTTTGTCTTTTTCTGCTCGGCCTCCAGTACCCCCTCACGCCAACTGCAGTGGGGGGCAGTATCGGCCTACCGGCCTACTTGAGTGTTTTTCCGCTACCCCAAGGGCCTCAGGGCCGCTAGCTTCGCCACTTGAGTGTTTTTCCCTGCTACAACCCTCGATGCCACGGCCACAGGTAAGTACCGGCCCTACGGGCCTACCAAACAAGCAAGTACCCTTGTGGGTCCCACACACACTCGTACCAACAAGCACTCAGACAGGCATGCAGGTCACAAGCACGCACACACATACATACTTAGAAACCCACCAGAATGCGGGAATCTCAGCAAGGCATCCATTCCATCTGCAGAACTTCAAAAATCAGCAGTGTTCTCAGTCTGTGTTTTTACGGGTCATTACACTACCCCCCCCTCAAGAGCGAGGCCCCTTCGAGCGAGTAACTCAATCAGAGTCCTTGCATAGTGCATCATAGGCGTAGATAGCAAAGAGAGATCGGGTGTGTTCCATAAACTAATCAATCGTTCATAGGCGTTAACGACGCGCGGTGCACTCTGCAGTAAATCCTCCTTAGCAATCCAGTAGAAATCATCCAACGGATGGTAGAGAAAATGGACTTTGTATTGGATGTTTCTTCCTTTCCCACTGTGCTCGACAATTCTATCAACCTCGTGACCGCCATTGATTGCGCGGGGAATCATCGATTATCGGTACTTGAACGTCTCAGGTGGCTCATACGAAAATAACTTTGATGCGTGAAAGACTGGGTATGTGCGGAGATGGGCAGGCACATCAATCGTGTAAGAAGGACCGAAGGAATCATTACCTACTCGATTCAGCACCTTCCAGGGACCGTAATACTGAGGAAGAAGTTTCCGTGATACGCCTTCTTCTTCAGAAAACTCAGATATCTTGACCCAAACATAATTTCCCACGGTGAAGGGATCAGGCTGGCGTTTCTTGTTTGCATGCTTAATCATAGCACTGCGTCGCCTCTCCATAGCCGCGACAACGACTTTGAGCAAACGATCGTACTTAGCACTGTAGCCTGGCTGGCCAGGCGTTAGGCCAGGTGGTTGTTCCGGGAACAGATAGGATAGGGGATTGCGGATTTTCCATCCGAGGTACAGCCGGTTAGGCGTCATCCCGGTGGAAGAGTGGATGGAGTTGTTGTACAACCCCTGCACAATCGGCAACTCCTCATCCCAAGAGTTCTGGTCAGGCACGATAAGAGCCCTGAGAAGTTGGATCACGGTCTGGTTGATCTCCTCGGCCAGTCTATTGGCTTCGGGGTGTCTACCAAACGTCATCTTGAGTTTCATGTCGTAGGTCTGGGAGGTGAAGTCTTTCCAATCTGCACTTGTGAACCTGGTATCCCTATCGCGCATAAGAGTCTTCTGGGGCCCGCATTGCAGAATGTACCTTTTGTGAAATTCTTTGATCACAAGGTCAGTTGGGGCATGGGGTGGTAATGGGATTAGATTCAGAAACTTGGAAAAACGATCAACGATCACCATTACTTGTGAATAACCCTTTCTGCTCTTCTTCCCCATGTCCATGAAGTCAATGGAAACAGACTCACCCGGGCCATCAGGGATAGGAAGAGGGTGCAGCAGCCCATAGGGCTTCTGTCGAGACGGTTTGATGCGTTGTCAAACTTCACATTCAGCCACAAACCTTTGCGTCATTCTTTTCATTGCAGGCCACACAAACTTTTCCAACAGATTTCCGTATGTCTTCTCAACGCCGAAGTGTCCACTCCGGCCATGAGCCAAGTCCAAGAAGTGAGTCGTGATCGGCTCATGGTTGGGCACACACAATCGGTCATGCTTCCCATGACGACGGAAGAGAAGGCCCTTACATTCATGGAAATCAGGCTGACTGCTAGGGTCAGCTCGAATCTGCTCATGGATGGGACTGAGTTCCGGATCCTTGGCAGTATGCTCTATGAGTTCCTCCTTCAGATTTTTACGCAGGTCATAGGAACCTACAAGGCAAGTCATGTACTCGGGTGGCGCGACAAAGCATCCGCAACGCGATTGTAACAACCTTTCTTGTGCTTAATCTCAAAGTCGTACACAACAATCTCATGCAGCCAACTGGTCAGCGTAGTTGAGGGATTATTCTGTGTCTGAACCCATTTCAAGGTCTCATGGTCTGAGAACACCTTGAAATGGCGACCCAAGAGGTAGTGCTTCCAGTGGTCTAGTGCCTCTCTCAAGGCATAGAGTTCTCACATGTAGGTGGAGGCAACTACCTTGTGACTGGGCATACGTTTGCTGTAAAACTCTAGGGGACGTAAGCCGTCGCCGTCATCTTGTTGCAGCACTGCACCAATCCCATACATACTGGCATCCGTAGTTACTACGAATATGAGTTTGGGATCTGCAATGCGAAGCACCAGATGACTCACCAAAGCCTCTTTTAATGCTGCGAAGGCTGTCGTGCATTCCTCATCCCATGTATAAGACACATTCTTGCTAGTCAATCTAGACAGCGGACGGGCGGTGATAGAAAACTTAGGCACAAACTTGCGGTAGTAGGACGCAAGACCAAGAAAAGAACGCAACTCACGAACATTCGCCGGTTGAGGCCAATTGCGGATGACTTCAACCTTGGTTGCCTCAGGCTCTAGGCCTGCAGCAGACAACCGGTGCCCAAGGTAGATGACGCTGTCTCTCCCAAACTCAAATTTCTCCAAGTTGAGATGGAGCTGCGCTTCCTTGAGGACCTGCAACACTTCCTCAAGGTGTCTCATGTGCTCCTCCATTGATTTGTTGAATATGAGTATATCGTTGAGATAAACAACAACAAACCGGTTAATCTGATGGCGGAACACTTTGTCCATGAGACTTTGAAAGGTGGTTGGTGCGTTCGTGAGACCGAAGGGCATGACGGTAAACTCGTACAACCCATCGTGAGTTTTGAATGCGGTTTTGTGCTGTTCTGCAGGATCGACTTCAATGTGGTGGTAGCCAGACTTGAGATCGATCTTGCTGAAGACTTTGCAACCACCTGCAGCATCAAGCAGATCATCGATACGTGGCAAAGGGTATGCATTCTTTCTTGTGATTCTATTCAATCCGCGGTAGTCAATACACATCTGCAGTTTGCCCTTCTTAGGAACAAACAACACCGGCGCACCAAACTCAGACTCACTGGGTTTGATCCACGCCTTCCCAATCATCTCATCAATCTGCCTTCGCAACTCCTCCAATTCGCCTGAGCCCATTCGATAGACACAACCTTTTGGAGGAGTGCTACCTTCAATCAACTCGATCTTGTGCCGGACCGGACGCACGGGAACTCCATGCGGTTCGGTCAAGACTTCAGGAAATCGGTTGAGAAGGTTGCGAATTTTCGGCGGAACTTCCGGAGGGGGATCATCACTCTCAGGAGCAAGCATATCAAATGTCATAGGTGCAGCCAAACGACAGGGTTAGAGGTAGAGTCATTTGGACTAGAGGTAGATTTAGTAGAGGTAGAAGTAGTTGCATCCGAGGTGGAAACAACATGCAAAGTAGAATCATTATGTACAACAAAAATAGAAGGCACATGAGCATGCCTAACAAAGGCTATATACATTTGCTCATTAGGTTTGCGCCTACGCCACTTTTTGTAGAACTGCATTGCATTGAGAAAGGTTACTTGGGACTCGCGCGACTCATCCAAGAGGACTGGACGCTCGATTCCCATGGCATCTTTGACCATGAATTGTGAGTCCTTCCACGTGGTTCTTTCACATTGGGCCTGCAACCAGCCCAAGCCCATAACCGCGTCGAAGAGGCACTGATCAAGGGCATAAAAGTTCAACTCATGCGTGATTGTGCAGTCAGCGTCAAAGGTAGTGCGCACACCTTTGACTGCATGCGTAGATGTGACAACCTCTTGGTTGCCTACTTGGGTCCGACAAGGATTCTGCAAAGCCACTTGCTTCATCCCCAAGCGTGCCTTACGAATGCCGTGCGGTGAGAAGTAGTTGGCGGTTGCACCATAATCAGCCAACGCACGGATGTAACGGCCATTAATGTAGAGTTTGAAGAAGATCAACTTCGTTCTCCCTTGCGCGTGTTCTTGCTTCATGTGAGCCCAGCGCGTCAATAGAGCATGGAAGTGAATTTCTTTCGACTCTACCCAAGGCTCCTTGTATAGGATGTGGATCTTCTCAGCCTTGGAATCAGCATTAGATGGGGTTTTAGGAGAGGTTTGCTGAGTGGGATCAGAATCCAAAGAAGGATTTGTACTTACATGTTCCGCCTCTCCATCTGTAGAGTGTGCTGATGATGCCTCCCCCGTTGCTGGTTTCCCTGCTGCAATCTGAAACATTGTTGGACTGAATGTCCCGGTTGGTGCAATGCAGGCAAACTCCTCTCTTCACCCTGTTCCTCCACTCGCTTTCACTAATCCGGAGATCTACCCATGGTTTTGTGGCAGGATCTTCTGGTTTGGGTTAAATCTTTGCTCCCTTGGGAAGAAGGATAGTGTTAGCGTTGTTCTTCATCGTGGTCCTCGGTCCCTTACTTTTAAAGGCAGTCTTTTTAAAGGCATTCATAGATTCTTCGTCATTTACGTACTCAGACTCATGGGATGACAATGAGCAAGATGCCCCGCAGTCTTGCTCTTGATCGTCATCAAGAGAAGATTCATCCACGAGGGTCTCCTCGTCAGCCTCAAGCAGATCACGTGCTGCAAAACGGTTGCTACCTGGAAACCGTTTGCGGCTGGTGACCTTTTTGCCACTTGATCCACCTGGGAGGTCTTGTGCCTCCAGCTTGACTAAGTCCCGCATGCGGGTAAGCCAATCTGTATATCCGCTGAGCCCGAGCCCTAGGCGATCTTTCAGAGTAGAGGGACCGTTTCTTTCATCACATCCAGACAGGACTGCGCAGTCATCTCCAGATCCGTAGTAGCAAAGAGTTTACTAACATACTGCTGCAGGCTGTGCATGATGCCGGTCCACTTGCTGTGCTTGAGCTTGTCAAGCTTAAGTCTTGCTTTAGCTGCAGCATGTGGATCAGCATATTGTTTAATCAAGAGATCCTCAAGTGCGGCAGTAGGTGTAGCCTTTAGCCATTTGTTCAGGTCTATTCTCTTATAGCCTGATTGGACAGCTTGGGTTACCAGAAAAACTCTCACGACAGGCTCCACATTGGTCCCTAGGATAGACGACTGAGTGGACGGGGGTGTCCCCAATACATCAAAGTAGGATCGCATGGAGATGATCCAAGACTCGACGCCGTCCTTTCCGTCATACTTGGACGGAATCTGCGCCGCCTTCCTGTCGATGTAAGCAAAGCTGCTGCCTAGCCCAGCCATTGCTGGGTCCGGGCCCGGGCTGCAACAGTTCCAGAATTCCCTGCACCACCACTTGCCGCTGCGGCAGCAACAGTAGCAGCAGCGGGGTCTGGATCTGCTGCAGATCCAGATTGGCTGTTAGCCACACTCAAGGATGAAGAAGTAGAAGAAGACACATTTAGAGGGGCAAAAACAGACTGACACGCAGCACTAGAAGCAGGGTAGGTAGATGGAAGGGTGCTTTGGGCTGGCTGCACATTAACAAGCTGTTGTAGCTGGTCACGGTGCTGCTGCGCCATCAGGGCCATGTCCTCGCGCAACTTCTTAAGCTCGTCGAATACTTTGGTGAGTTGGCCAGCGTGGTCCTCAACAGTCCGGACATCCACCAAAGCCCGGAGGAGTGGAATGGTTTTCTCTTCCACCTCCTCATTGGTTAGGGCACGTAAGGTACAAAAGATGGCTTCATGAGCCTTTACCTTCTCCTCCCTCTCCTTCTCTTTCTCTTCCTTCTCCCTCTTCAATGCTTTCTCGTAGAAGAACCGGTATTGCGCTTTCTTTGCCTCAGGGGCAACGTCCATTTGCAGCTTTCAATTTGCTGCAGATGCCATGATGGAGGATGAGGGTGTCAATAAGTCTCTCAAGAGGGGTCCGTACTTCCTCACTTGCCTGGGACGAACACTCCTCTTCCCTCTCCTCACTCCCTCAAGAGCAACACTCAGAAGCTTCTCTCTTCTCTCTCTCTCTCTCGTTTGCGACCGTGTAGACGCAGGCATTAAAGAACCCAATGGAAGAAACAACTTGAAATCAATCAGAAGAGAAGGTAGAACTCCTAGCCGGAGCGACAATTCATTTGGACTGGAGAGCAGTCAGAAAAAAAAAAAAAAAAGATCAAAGAGATCTGATCCAGCCACACAGTCTGGATTGACTACGTATGGGGTCCTCCCAAGCCTAGCCAGCCTCAGCTCTGTGAAAACACAGCAAATCAGATTCAAGATGTGCAACGAAATGCAAGAGAGAATTGAGTGGTGTCCAAGGTGCGAGTCAGGGGGTGGATCATGCGGTGAAGTTTGAATAAACGTCCAAGCGGATCCCTCCGCAGCGAGTGTCCTGGTCCGAAAGCATAAAGTCCGTATCCCAATCAGATAGGGCAAGGTAACTGACGTCAACAAATTTGGCCTGAGGGGCCCTTCTTGTTTGGGCCCGGTCCCACTGAATGGTCCCAGTGGAGTCTGAACCGGGTCCCAACCAACAAGAGTTCCACGGAGACCTACTCTGTGCCTACTTGAATTGAAAAACAAAATTTTGCCCCAGAAAGAACCTGTAGACTACTGCCGTTCAGAATGAAACAAACAAAGCACTGTAGAGAGATATCACATGGCGAACAAGATACTCCATTCATTCACTCGTAAGGTAGTAGGCAGTTCACACACCTCTCACACAATCAAGACTATGGAGGATGGAAGAAGAACCTAGAGAACCCCAGCAAGCAGTCAATTCCATGCACACACACATTGGCACCCTGGTGCACGACACTTACGTGAGTGGTCGGGCTCTTGAGATGAAAAGAACTCACCCCCCTCTCACATAGTCCTCCTGACCCAATTAGCATCCTGTACGCTAGTGTCCTATCATCTAGGAGAGTCAACATCTACCCCAAAGTACACAGCCGGATCCCCCGTCAATGTTGAAGATCAAAGCAGCAACTTGCAATCCGTAGGTGCAGATATGGCTGCCACCCTCAAGCTCGCCTACTTGAGGGGAGCCCTAAAGTCACTCCTCGTCTTCCTT